CGGCGGAAGAACTTGCGCGGGGGGGAGGGGAGGCTCCCAAGCGTGAAAAAACATCGGAAAAGGCCTCCCCGCCCCCCCGCGCAAAAATGTGTTGGGCCCGCCCCGCGTCAAACCGGGGGACCCAACCGACCGGGCCGCGAGGGACCCTGCCGGACGGAGGCTGGGCCGTCGGGCGACCCAGAGTTTAACACAGGCAAAAAGTATAGTACGGGGAATTTCAGCCACAACACCAGAGGAAGTTACAGCAGAAACTGCAGCAGAGGGAACTTTCGTAGCAGAAACTGCCGGAGTGAAAACCGGCGCTGTAGAAACTGCAGCGGTGGAAACAGCAGCAATAGAAACTGCAGCGGTGGAAACTGCAGCAGTGGAAACCGCAGCAGTGGAAACCGCAGCAGTGGAAACCACAGCACTGGACACTACAGCAGTGGGAGCTGCAGCAGTGAAATTGCAGTAGCAGCAGATGAACAAGCAGGGATAGGACGAGAGTGGCGTGGGGGAAAAGAAGAAAGTGGAGGTTGCAGGGACCATCGCAGCATGTGTCGGGAGCACTGAGAGAGACGCGTCACATGCGTAGGATAGCAACATTGGCGGGAGCACATGTAGCAGGTTCACCCTTTAGCAAGGGTTGGTGGGGAATGCCCACGAGAAAGCATGCGACGAGTAAGTGTTGTCGCCACAGTTTGGAAGTCCTGCCAATCGTTACAAATTTGTTCAAATCAGGTCAATTGCCCAGTAAACACACCTGTCGGTTAATGGGAAGGGATGTTGGAGGTGGCACTTGGATAGCAAATGACATGGAAATCCCAGGCAGTCGCTTTATCAAACACCCTCATGTGAAGCGAGCCATCAGAACGTACTCGTAGATGCATACCTATAAAGGTACACGAGTCATTTCCGTCATAGTTTCCTTCCACTCAAGCCCATAGTGCTCTGGAGGAGGAGGTAATTGCCCCCATGAAAGAACATCATCAATTAGGCGTATCGCTTGAGCGGCTTGGAGATCACGTTGACGAATGTCATCAACAAAGCGTCCTTCATCTCAATAGAGCGCCGAATAAGAAATTTATGGGCGAGCATTTGTTCCCATTGGAATACCGATGATTTGCTTTCGAAGAGTGTCATCTCTAGTATACAAAAAAATGTTTTGTACAACAAAGCGAAGATGTTGGGGAATTGGAGAAATGGAAAGGGTGTCCAGGCCTGAATCGGTCGTCCATTGGCCAGAGCGAGATCCTCGAATAACCATGTTCAGGGCTTAGGAGTGCAAATGCGTGCGAGTATGCTGAAGGGCATAAGCATGGGCTTCATCAACAGCTTGTGCCACATTATTCAAAATGCGGTCATGAGGAAGGTTGGTGTACATTGTGGTGAGACCAACCGTGCGAAGAGAGAGGTTAGATGATGCATTGTTTTTCAGGTCAATCGCCACCTCATTGGCACTCTACACGATCCAGCACTGCCGAACACCAACTTGTTGATAAAGCTCAGTGTCTTTCTCGCAAAAAGTAGAGATCACTCCTTGCAAAGCATCGTTGAGATATGACGAAGTAGTCGTAGTGCTAGCCAAGGATTTGTGAGGAGGCCGTTCATGAATGGTGCGAATTGTAGGACGAGGGCGAGCGCATGGGGGACAGCACTGCTATTTTTTGTCGTGACTCCAAGACTGCAGCGAAGAGTTGGAGGAGACTTGTGAGCGTTGAGCACATAGTAATGGTAAGGCAAGGTATCAGTGTGGGTGTAACCCCAATGGTGATTCCAGCATGGTGGTTAAGGACATCAGCAACAGACTCATGGGGACGCGTATACGTGGAACTGTCCAAGAGGGTAGAGAGGTGAAACAGATACCAATTCTTCCAGCAAATTGCCAAATTGTGGAATGTTTTGTCCACAAGAACAATGGCAAAGTGTTGTTGAAGATGGCGCAATGAGGCATATGTAGAACGAAGTGAACGTGGTTGGCTCACATGATTGGAAGACAAAAATGAATTGGATTGACAATGTGCAAGGATTGCAGAATGCCAGTTGTTCAGCTTCTGAGAAAGAGACGAGAAAGAAGCATATTAAGAGTGTATGGCCAACACTCTTTTGTAGTTGGCAATGTAGTCATCATGTCCGATTGTCAGTGCTTGGAGCACATCAGTAGTCTTCCCATTCAAGCGATACTTAGAACCTTCTTGAAAACATTTGCGAAGGTTATCATCCAAGATGATATTGTAATCAACAGACACAATATGGTCATCCACAAGATCAAAACAATACGGAAAGGCTTTGCAGCATTCGCAGTTCAAGGAGACCGGTAAGGTCATCCCAAGAGTAATACTCAAGGCCACATCAGTGAAGTTGCAAAACTGGACACGTGTGGGTGGCAGCAGCTTGTCACATACACGAACATGTGCGGCCGCTTGCGGGTCAGGGTGCAATGCAACTACTTTCGGCAACTGCAACACATGGCGCAATATCGTAGCAAGAACTACCTCATGCACATGTACGACCTTAATATGCTCAGTAAATGGGTCACAAGGTTGTACTGTGTGCTGTTGGCGGGTATGCTGGGATTTTCAGATGAGGCACTCGAGTTCTCGAATGTCTGTTGTCATGTCCGCATTGGAGACATTGTTATAAAGCCATTGCAAAAGCCATGCCCGCCATGCTGGTGTCACCTGCTCAATGTCAGCCTTTACATAACACCAATTTCCCAAAGCAGCTTCACTGAGAAGGTGATGCAGTGAGGTATGAATTATGAGTTGGGGACGCGGACGAAGATCAACAACAAATGACCTTATCGAAGGTGTTGGCAAGAGAGGTAAAGAGTGAGAGGGTGTTGGCAAAAGAGATGCATTATGAGAGCCAACAGATGTTGGCAAAAGGGGTGTCGGGTGAGAAGGATCAGTTGATGCAGGAACAGGTGGAGAAAGAGGGGGCCGAGCAGAAGGGGACTAAGGAACAAACTGGCAAAGGCCCATTTGTGTCCAGAGAAGAGAGCGAAAGTGTCGTTGTGGAGATGGCAGTCTAGCCATTGGAAGGACTGCATTGAAATAGACGGGGTGAAGCGTTCGAAGTTTTTTTCCGAACCCAAAAACCCTCGCCGGGTGCAGCAGCCCGCCGAAAGAGGGCATGATCAACATGACCTCCAGAGGTATGATAAAGGGTAGGATTGATGCATTCCAAGGGCCAAGCCACAAAGTTGAATGTTAGTTGCCCACACATTGCGCGGTAGAGATGGTGATGGTGAAAGGCAGTAGAAGAGTGTCGTGTATGCCAATGCTCTTGCAGCCGTAGGTGCGCAAAATGCATCGTCTGTCCAACATAAAAAACGTCCAGAAGGCAAATGAACCATTGCATAAATCAATCCCCGAGCAGTGAGGAGGTCCATATACCTGATTCAAGAGGTTCTTGATCAACACCTCGCAGTTGCAACTCAAATCGCTCTGACTGCACAACATTGTTACGATGACGAAGTTGTTTCTTGCGTCACCCTCCTGCAGAATACAAGTTAGTATTCCACTGCAGGTGTGCATGCCAATCTACACGATGAGAAGCAGATGCCTAGCGGTTCGACATGTGAGCATGAGCAAACGGAACATAGTGTCCAAGAGGAAGCTTAGTATAGCACATGTCATGCCAGCGGCAGGAAATCTCCCGAGAGGGGTGGGAAGTATCGGGGCAGTCCCTTGATTATTCCTTAATTGCAGATTCATTGTTGATTATGAAACAGTTTTTTTTTTTTTTTCAATTTTTGAATGTAAAGAAATGGAGGTGGGTGCACAAGGTGAAAGACTTTAGGCCCGACGCCTCAGGTTGGGATCATGTCGTCGTCCTTTTTGTTTGCTGTTCGCCGCCAGCAGTATTGTGAAAGATGGAGCTCGGTTTGAATGTGAAACTGCATCTCCCAATGAGTGTGCTCACAGCAGCAACGTCGAGAGAATTGCACCAATAAACCAACAGTGCATACATAAAAAGATGTCACCAAGCAATTTTGACACACGCACGAACAAGTGTAGAAGGATTATACCAAGGAACAGGGAACAAGAGGTGAGTGGGCATGGGGGCAGCTGCCCGGGTGTGGTGAACCTTAGGCGGGTCGTAACTATACCCACTGCACGTGAAAGGGGTGCAACCCCTGCCCTTGTGGTGACCACCATGACAATCACACCATGCACAGAAGGGGAAAAAAAAGGGTGTACATAACGGCTGTCCACAACGAATAGACATAACGGAATGTACACGAGGAATGTACATGTAAGGGGTGTACAGCAGAAATGAACATGGTTACAATACAAAGCTTTCCTAAAAGGACAAACAGCCAAGCAGAACTTCCGCAACAATATCTGTCATAAGAAAGAGTGGAGTAGCTAAGTTCACCATGAAACCAGCCAAATAGGCATATACAGCTCCTGCACGGGACTGCAAGGGACGCAGAAGGTTCGTCAATAGAGACAAAAAAAAAAACAAAAAGGAGTGAGAAAACGGAAAAAGATAAGAAGAACGATGTAGGAGGTAAGAAGAAGAACAGATTGTCTTCCACAAGAAAAAGTCAGTGCCTTGTTGTACAGTATAACATTCCATGACTGCACAAAGACACGCATCAATGCAACATGCAGGGTGGGTTGTTGAGGGTGGAGAGAGAGAGAGAGAGAGAGAGAGAGAGAGAGAGAGAGAGAGAGAGAGAGAGAGAGAGAGAGAGAGAGAGAGAGAGAGATCATCGATGACCGAGGATCGTCGATAGAGGCCGCTGTATGCACATGTTCTTTTGCTTTCATGTTTGGGATGTGTGTGCCCCTTCTATATTTACCATATGATGCGGGTCGCTCTATGTCCTGGTATAATTTTTATCGCACTTTTAAAACAAAGCCCACCACGATTCACATTGTGATAGCCTTTCAGTCCTCATCACACACACACACACACACACACACACACACACACACACACACACAATTTACCACCAAGACCAAGGATTACCGATATGATTCTGTGGAGAAGGAGAGGAAAGGACATGCCTGGTTGCTGATGCAAGGTTCTTAGGCGTGCAATGTTCAAAAACAAACTCCTTGATGAACTCCCGGCCTACAAGTATATTTGGAATAGAGATGTAGCTGACAGCTGCAAGATGTCGGGCTATCTTCTCTGTGATCCAATGAGCACGATAAGCAACAACACATGGTAGCTGGGACATCAATAATTGAAGAACCACGGTGCCGGATGTCGCCATTGCAGCGTCACATGCCTGGCATTTTACAAGCACACCAACAGACGACACAGTTAAATCAGTCATCACACACAAATCTAAACAACATGGGTGAACTCCCTGGTAGCCACAACCCACCAATACGACCCTGACCGCTGCGATATGCAGTGCCATAAGCAGTCTTTCACCTGATGGTCCAAAGTACAATTTCATTTCAATAAGGAAGTTGCCCTAGCTCAGTTGGTACACCCCTGAACTGTTGAAATATAGACCTGAGTTCGAACTCCACCGGAAGCCGATGAGCAAAATACTGCAATTCCTTCCAACTTACGTAGGGCTGGTCAGTTCAATTGATCATATCTCAAGGCCATTGCCCTTTTTTGAAAAAAGAAAAGAAAAAGGAAGTTAGGAATGAAAAAGACAAAAAAAAAAAAAAAACATTCCAAACTTCCAAAGCCTATTCTTCACCGCAAATATTCTGTTGGCCCATTATCCATCGGATTAAGGATGTGGTAAGTGGCCAGCAAGGTCACAAACCAGGCTTCTTCAGAGTTGCTTCCATTCATTGTAAAATTTGATTCCCTACGAGGGAACAGGACAGAGGGGCCAACCCATAACCCTAGGTGTAGCTTGCCACTAGAGGGTAGATCAACGTGTTTAGGTAGGGAGTGGGAGGTATATTCAGAGGCGAATATCGGATAGTAACCTTAGTTTTAAAAAGAAAAAGAAGAAAAGGACAGAGGTGCGAACATGATGATGCAGCACAAGCTGTCACATTCCAATACAGCCATACATGATGACTGGGACTTATGTTAAGGGCCTTCAGGCCCTTCAGGGGAAGGTGCTAACAGAGTCTGTGGTATATGTCATTACTGGGGTGCCAGGTCCAAGTAGGTACTGAAGGGTGAAAAGGCCATTCCTGGACAAAACAGGCCCAGTGAGGACGCCAAATCGCATAGGAAAGATTGAGGTTGCAACAGTCTCATCAAAGGCTGATTACTGGAACCCGGGAAAAGGGAGAAAAGATGGGCCAAAGATAAGTTTCTTCCAAAAACTATCTGCCCACCACAAAGAAGCTAGAACGGGTCAGGCGTGGCAAACAGGGAACAACTGGTGTTATGAGAAAGGTTATTATGCAGCTGACAAGGGAGAGCACGAACATAGGGGGAGAAAGAGAGAGAGGGGGGGGGGGG